AATCCTCCCTTGTCATAATATACTTGCTAAAGAATTCATTTCAAGAGCTGAAAGTATGGACACTCCATACTGTGCTTCCTGCTTATGCTTTATTTTGTTTCCTGATATGTTTACATGGTTGAGAACACCTATATAGAAGTAACACAGTCTTCTATGATCATTACAAAGCCCTAACCTAATTTTTAAGCCTTTGTAATAAATTATCCTTACCCATACTTTGGCATCTTTTTCTTCACTCATTATCAAACATGATCCAAAATTCTCTGAATATGCATCACATCTAAAAATAAAATGTTTGAGCAACTTACCAAGGATTATTGAGTACTTTTATTTTCATATCTGTTAGTTGCTAAAAGATAAACATTCATAGTATACATGCCTATATGAATATATAATATACATTACATACATACATACACACACACTTTCTGGCTTTCTGTTTCTTCTGCTCATTTGCCTTCACTCTGGAGCACACCTACCATCCTGTTTTGAAAACAACTACAGATGTTTGGAAGCCTCAACAGAGGTGGGTCAGGTAGGAACTAGCAAACTGCCCTTCCTAAGGCCATGCACATGGGCACATTTCTTAAGCTCAGTTCTGCTTTTCTTTAACTAAGTCAAAATTCTGGATTTCTGTGCATAGATCATAATGATTACTTGAAAAAAAACAAGCCTATGAAAGGAACTTCAAAACACTATGAAGGAACTTCATCACAAAAGATTGGATTAGAAGGAACGTTATCTTATTACCCAATATTTTCGCATCAAAGATAAATGACTGACAAATAAGATTTAAAGATGGATTTTTGTTTCCTATTAAAGATTTGTGAATATATGGAGGGAGGAGTCACAACATTACACCAATCTTTTTCTTTATTTCCTTCCTTAAGCATTGTTTGTCTGTTTGTTTGTTTGTTTTGTTTGTAATCTTATGTTAGTGGAATGATGGCACTGGTTTATATATGTGATGATTTGCTTTAATTAGACCCTGAAAATGAGCCCTCTCAGGTATCATCCATTATCATTTTTATTTTTAAAATGAAGGAGTGGAAGCTCAGAGTTCTCTATCATCAGGCGTCATTTTTACACAAATACCAAGTGACACCTAATTTTTAATGCAAAGTCGTTTCAGAGATGTTGCTGCAATATCAATTTACAAATGGGACTTTGATTCATAGAGTTTGAATAAAATATGTTTTAATTATTGAAAACAGTTACTCTGCCAGCCAGTTAACTTTACCACATAGAAACCTAAGTAACTCTCAGTTATGTCATCAAGTCAGATATCAGGATGCAGGTCACATCAACTTCTTCCTTTTTTTAGTGTTGTCTGATATAAACTAGTAGAGAGCAAACTTTTATTTTTATTTTTGTATACATGAACATTATATTACACCATTTCTACATATCTATCTTCTTACTGGCATATGGAGACAGAGTTTTCCTTATGATGGCCATAATATATATATATATATATTGCAAGGCCCCCAGCCCTCTATCTATTAAGCACCAATAATGACTTCCCCATCCTAACTTATGATGTCCTAAGTGTGCAGATGTCCCTAAACCTGAGAACCACTGTTATAATGAAACACTCGAGGTACTAACAAGCCAGAAATTCAAGTATTCATGTTATAAATATTTAATAAATGCTTACTCCACCGAGTATAACCAAAATTGAAACACTCAAAGAAATTGACAACTCTCCTGCTAGACTTTAGACATTACAACTTTAGATATCAAATAAATTATTAATATATTTCACAATTAAAAAATAAAAGTCAAGTGCATTGGCAACTGAAACAATTGACTTAACTTGTTAAAATCATTTCATAAAAAACTTCTTTTAGTTACTTCTGTTTTGGCTGTGAGAAACAACCAAGGAAAAGACACTAAAGACAGGAATGATTTATTTGGACTCAAAAATTTCAGCCTAGCTCCATGTGCTCAGACCGAATGTCCTGTTACTGGACCATATGGTAGAGGCTATTCTTTATCTCTTAGTGTGTAGGAAATAGGGAGAGACAGCAAATTCCCAAGGGTAAGATAGCCCCAAAGGCCTGTTCCAAGCAATCTCATTCCTCTAGTTAAATGCCACCTGCTAAGCTTTCTAGAAAGTTCCCTAAGAACTCCACCAGCAAGGAAACATGCTAGTGAAAACAAACACCTGTGAAGGATGTTCTGTATCCAATCTATAACACATCCTACAATTTGATTCCCTAAGAATGAAGAAAAATGATAAAGTGTGATTATCACATAATGCCTGATTTCAGCTGAATATGTATCCAGGCACAACACTCTTAAGGGGTTCTTTTAGCTTTTAAATAAAGTGACAGTTCTTTAAGAAACAGACACAATAATAAATGAAAGATATTTTCAACCATGGTAAAGAAACATAGAAAAAGTCATCATGAAAGGTGCAGTAAGTCTAGGAAAATGAAAGTTGCTATTAGATATGACAGCTGTCACAACAGTACATGGTAATAAATGTAATCATGGCAATAAAGTACTATTTGTATTTAGTTCTTTTCAAGAAGTTAACATAATGAGCATCTTGTCTAAATTGGTAGTTTTTATGGTGTTGTCAAAAATACTAAAAGCAAGGCAAAATCTTGAAATGTGCAGCGTATTTACCTTACTCAGAATCCCTGCTCTGGATAGGTTCGTTTTGAGTTGTTTCCATGGTCATTCCATTTACATCCTTGTCTTTGTTCTGTGTGATTAGGTTATTCTTTTTCTTGAGATCTAATGTACTTGAACAAATCTTCCTATTATTTGATTTTAATAGATCCATTGTTGGCTAAATTGTACTGTTTAGGTTTCAAAGCATATAGTAAAATCTGTATTTCTTAAAATTATTTTTTCTATTTTAACAATATCATTTTTGTGACTTCAAATAATAATGTTGTTTGCCTATATAAGATAACATCCACCTGGCATTCAGTGAAATGCCATCATTAGTTACTAGTGTTGATGAAGCACTGAAATACAGAAAATGCATTCTGGGGGAGACCTAACACATGGGAGCTATCTGTGAGCAGTGATGAATACTCTATGAAGTCCAAGAAAAAAAATGTTTTTCACTCTTCTATGAAGTTTTGACAGAGTTTCTCTGGTCTACTCCTGAATACTTGTGGCACGTGTCTCAATATTGAAATACTTTCAGCTCTGCTATTCATTCCTCTCCAAGTACAGAGATGCTTCCAACTTTAACCTACTTTTGGCAGAGATTTTTGTATTGAAAAACAGTATATTAGTTCCTACCTGTCTTATTGATATGACCAAATATCTGAGAGGAAACAAGGAAAGACTCTTTTATTTTAGCTTACAATTTGAGGAGGTAGAGTCCTTCATGGTCGAGAAAGGCACAGCTGTTGTGGTATAAAATAATCCCAGTTCCTCCAGAGTGGACAGAACCTGGGCTACAACTCATAACCTCAAGGCTCTCATAGTGACCCACTTCCTCAAGGAGGACTCCATATTTAAATTGTTCAGTCTTCTGACATACCACTAACTAGCTGATGTTTAAGAACGTCCACAAGCCTATAGAGGAAATCTACACTCAAGCAACAAGACAGACTAAAGTCTTAAACACAGCACTTGCTTACCCTGAGTATGGGATGAATCTCATTCTAGGACACAACATGTACAGTTCCTTCCCCTAGCAGGCTCATTAGAGGCCTTAATGAGACACATGCCCTCAGTGAAATGGGATTTCTCTGCACGATTAGAATTTCTCTTTTCGCCACATTCATCCATTCACTAACATTGGATATATGTTAAATTTTCTTCAGAGTTATTGTATTATCTTCAAGTCATTTAAACACTCATAATTTTTTGTTTGTGGTTTTGTTTGTTTGTTTGTTAACACAAGGTTTCCCTGTGTAGCTTTGGAGCCTGTTCTGGAACTATCTCTTGTAGACCAGCCTGGTCTCGAACTCATAGAGACATGCCTGCCTCTGCCTCCCAAGTGCTGGGATTAAAGGCATGCACCACTACCCAGCCCTAAACATTAATATCCAATGTTAGAATTTTAGAATTCAATATTTCCAACTCAAAGGATAGCATCTCTCAAATAATGATTAGTTCATTGTTTATTTTCATTCCCCAGTGGAGTTTGTTCTTACAGTTGGTCAATTCTGTGACATCACTCCCATCTCTAGACCTCAGTTTCTTTGTATGAAAAGCATAGGTCTTTGATGAATGTTCTTTTCTCCTCCAATATCCAGAGTACTTTGATTAATTTGGGGATTTGATTGATAATAATTGACAATATTTTAATGTTGTGCATGTTTATTGTTTTATATGTGTGTATGTGTGTGTACATATTTCAAAAATATGCATAAATATAAAATGTTATACTCACAGAGGGCACTGGGAATTGGTATTTCCAGAATAAAGCACTATTATTTTTGGTGCAGAATGGACAATTTTCAGCATCTTCATTATTCATGTGGGTGTGGATGATGCAAATGAAATAAGTGACATCCTTTCCTGTCTGTCTCATCATTTCATGGTCTGACTCTTGGAAATAGTGCAGATTTATAAATCTTGACTGAGTGTAGTAGTACATAACTTATAATACCAATATTGGAGAGACAGAAGTAAGTGGGCTTCTATGAATTTGAAGGCAACCTGATCTACATAGAGAGTTCTAGGCCAGCCAAGTTTGCATAGAAAGATCCTGTCTCAGAAAGAGAGGGGTAGAGGGAGAGAGAAAGCGAGAGGGAGGGAGTGGGAGAGGGAAGAAGTATTTTTACTATAGCTTTCTGCTGCTTCTAAATATTTAGTTATAGCTAGCTAAGTGGAGCTTTCTTCAAAAAATAATAGAATTATCTTATAAATTTATGAGAAAAAAAACTATCTCCAAATCATTTAATTTGTAATTTCTTTGTGAGACTTATTGTCATTATTGATCATAGGTTTAATTGCATGTTAATGGTCACTAACTTTTCCATGAATAAGCCTTTGATTAACATCAATTTTTATTTCCCCCCAAGGATCCTTCCCGGCGATTGGGGTGGAAGCCTTCTGCCCCAGCTTCCTGAGAGCTGGATTTTTAAACAGCATCCAGGCCCCACATCCAGTGACAGCTGGAGGATCCCTGCCCCCCAGGATTCCTGCTGGTAGGTATCCCATGTACATTTCTCCACCACCCACCACCATAGAAAGCAATATAACTCTCACAGCTGATAGGGAAACAATACAAAAATGAATACTTCTAAAAGACATTGAGAAGAAATGCAAGTGACTCTTTGCAATGCAGGAAGAGCGCCTGTAGTATCTAGTGAAAATGGGATCACAATGGGGCAAAAGGATTTGCACCCCAAGTGTACAAGTGCTTACATAGAGCTTACATAAGCAAGAACTAGAGTGCCCTTGCCACTGGGAATGGATCACAAAAGAGAACTGAAAACTAAGGATGTTGACAGAGTCATTTGGATAAGTCTATAGAGATTTAATTAAAGTTTCATTTTACTAAAGGAAAATGATTTGAAGAAAAGCCAGAAACCAATAATAATAATAATTATTATTATATATAGAAAATTAAAATTCAATCCTCTCTTAAAAATAGTAATGACCAAAATTATGAAGTAAGATATAGCATATCTCACATTCTGAACTTCAATTTCAGAATTTAGTGAAATTTTTGAGTTATTCACAGCATCACTAATAATAAATAAATCCTTTCTTCCTGACACTCAATGAAGTCTAGAGCAGTCATCTTCTGCTATCCCCCAAATGATGCCAACCTCCCTTGCACTTTATGCAAATGCTGACTCAACTTTTTAAATCTAAATTTTTGTGTATTTATCATGACTAATAGTAATGGTATAAGTTATGCTAATGCTGTAAGTATATCCAAGAGGACTGGCCTACCATCAGGGTAATGGAACATTTGGAAAGGCTGGGAATTCTTAATTTTTAAAAAGTCCCAAAATGTACATTTGTTTGCTTTTCTTAACCATTCTTGCAATTGTTCTGATATTTTCTTTCTGCCTTTTAATTAATCTTAATATATAAAAATCAGCTGTCAGTAAACATGCTTTATTGTAATTTTCTTCACTGTTGCCATGTGGTGCTACACCTAGAGACTTTACGGATGACAGTACTATTGATAACAGTGGGAGCCAGAATGCTGTAAGTGAAAAGACTAGCAATTTTAATTCTGATGATGCTCTGCCTCTTTTATGTTCTGAGAAATAGAGCGGTGAGAATGACATGGGGAATTTTTATTGTTGCTGCCAAAATAAAAGGGAAAAAAGAAACCTATATCAACTAAGCTTACAGAACTAATGACTGGTAATGTAGAAAAATCTTAGCCCTCATCTCAAACAAAATGAGATGTAGGTTAATATGGAAAGAACTATAAGTGACCTTGGCCCAGGACTGCATATTTAGGTTGCCCAAACCCCATATTCCAACAAAGACAGTAATTAAATAAAGTTTCTTTTAAGAATTATTTTATGTGTATGAGTGTGTGTGTGTGTGTGTGTGTGTGTGTGTGTGTGTGTGTGTGTGTAATCAGTTAACCTCATGAGTGCCTGCTGCCATGAGAGGGCCAAGTCTTCTGGAACTGGAATTACAGAGGGTTGTGAGTGCCATGTAGATGCTGAGAACTGATCCCAGGACCTCTGAAAGGACAGCAAGTGCTTTTAACTTCTAAGCCATTTCTCCAGCCCCTCATGAAATTCTGTAGTAATAAAACAAGGAAGTCAAAGATCAAGGCACTTTTTAAACACATCCAGGGAAGCACTGGACAGGCAGTTATAGCAAAGCAGGGACTGCCGTAGGTCTCACGTTATCTCATGGTGGTCTTCGCATTTAGGTTGATAGAAGGTAAGGATCTGTTTTATAGCCCGGAGGATTTATCCTGGGCTCAGAAATATTAGGACACACAATGTGCACAATAAAGAGTCATGGGCTAAGAGAACTCAAGATATTCAGTTTGGACTTGCAACATCCAACTTCTTTAAACTTACAATGAGTCAATCGGCTCTGTGAAATACTCATTGTGTGTGTGGTTTCTCTCGGGAAAATTGAGTCACACTACAATTTGTAAAGTGCAGTTTTAGTTTATATAATTAATATCTCGCTGGTTAGAACTGAATAGATAAACACAATTAGTTTATTGGTTCAGTCCTTAACTGGGAATCTGGTGAATTTAGATGTATCTGACAGAAATGACATTATGAAGTTTAACATTGATTTGATTTATTCAGCTTTACTAGCAAAAAAAAAAAAAAAATTGAAATAGCCCTTGTCATTTAGCCACTGGGAATGACAGAAGGAAGATGATCTTTCTACAACACAAACACAAAAACTTCCTCCCGGAGAAGGATCAGAGACAGAGCCCCAGCATTCCATTCTGCTAGGCTTTAAGCCAAATTTGCCTCCAGCTTTCAGAGGAGAAAAAAACTCTGTTCCCTTTTCATGACTTCCATACAAATCAGGTGAAACAAAATTGCCGCATGAAACATTTATAGATCTCAACTTGTTCCTGTTCCTTCAAACTGAAATTAACTCAGCTCACTTTTCCTGACTCAGGGCCCTCTCATGTAAGATACCTGTATGTTCTTTTACCTTACATCAAAGACTGCGGCATTTTCAATGGTGATTTGTATTTCTCTCATTCAACTCTTGCTAATTTCCCTCATAATCTTGTGTTAAGAGGAGTAATACAGTCATCACAGGAAGCTTTTATTGTTTAATACATTTAATACCCTGAAGTATTCCCTTGTCATGTAATGTGCTCGGGGATGTTCATTCAGGGTTAGGATATCAAATCAAGGACAGGAAACAATGTTCCTTTCCCATAACTACCAGGACACTCCTAGAACCAGCTGAAGGATAATGCCTGCTGGGTGTCTACTAATTGATAATATGCCAAGGAACTTGACATTCTCTCAAGACATTTCCTGTGTCATTGGAGAAGTATCAAACCTGTTCTAGGGCCAATGCTAAATAGGTTGCTGTTAATGAAATTTAAATGAGATATTACAGGTATGTTTTGTGTGGGAGGATTGTATTGGTCCGTTGTTTTGCATCCCATCCTGCTATTAAGCAACAGTATTTCTACTACAGCATTTACTTCTGACATATAACTTCAGCCTTAGGACAATCCCTGGATCACGAGACCCAGAAAATAGACAAGCTTGTCAGTATTCGTGTAACAACCATCAATCATTCGTGAATTTCTTATTTCTAGAAAGGTCATTTCAAAGGGTTATTTTTCTGAGTCTACGGTAGAGAAAAACACTAGGATACATTGATCTGTGCTCAATAGCACGCAGGAGTAAGTGGGACTTCAGAAAACAAAATGAGCATTGGAAATCTCCCTAGTATTTCCTCCATGGTTCGTCTTAGAAGCTGATGCTACTCCGGAGTCTCTCAGTTTGCCTGTCTGTACCATGAGACTGACTCTTCTTCTCACTTGCCTTAAGGGTCTCTTCATTGTGTGACATGTGTGAGGGTCCAAGGAAATGGCCAATTTGCTTAGACTCTCTGCTTAACTGGAACTGTCAAACAGTGTAAATGTGAACACATGGAGAGCCAAAAGCCAGATGTGCACTTTCTAGGTATATAACTAATAATATGTAATATTATTTGTTTATTTTCATAGAAATTGATTTTAGTCATCCTTAAATTCAAAGATTCAAATCTTTCTACATATGCATCCCTGCCCCTTGGCTAGCCACACTAGCAAATGGGTTCACAACCTGGCTTTGTGTAAGTTGCTAATATTCCAACTGCACACAGTCCTGAGTAACAGTTACCATGTTTTTCCTTTCTCTGCTTCATGTGAAATGCTATCTGATAAGGAGTTAGGGAAAATATACTGTGTCTTACTCAGTCCAAAAGAATTTGGAAGCATACGGCTTAAGTGTTGAAATTAAACTAAATAAGTTTGAAGCTGCAGGAAGTCTCGTCCCTGGTGATAATGATGTTGTTCGCTCTGGGCCTGTAAAGAGGATGCAGAAAAGAAATAACATCAATGCTTGTGACTACATGGCAGGTTTGAATGGAGAAAACAGTATGTTAAGGAAATTTAACATTTTGTTTGAACTCAATGCACCATGGGAAATCAACAGTAAAAAAAAGAATGCATTAAATGTTAAATGTGATCAAACAGCAGTTCAGAAAAATCAAATTAAATCATTTGGTTTCTTCATATTTTCAGGCATGCTAAAGGGAATGGGCCTAAAACATTTCAATCCCAGGCACTTACAGCAAACCAACATCTATTGGAAATAGTTCTCCTGATGGTGATAATTGTTAAATTAATTTTCCAAGGAGACTGCATAATAAAATATCATTGCAGTTAGTATAAACACTTACAGGATACACTTTATAAGTAGGAGATCTTCAAGGTAGAAAAACTTCTATTAATCAATTGGAGTATGTATCTGCTCTATATTTTGCACTTGCAAATACTGCCAATCACCCAGGATGAATTATGGCTAAGTGTGTCCATGTGCCTGCTTAGATCAAGAGCTGAAGGGAACTGTAAAAGATGAAAAGTATGAGAAGCTCCAAATAAGCTACTCAGATGTGCTACAGTAAAAAGGTACACCCTGCCTCTGCAGAACTTTCAGTTTCTTCCTTCCTTGCTATCTGCATGATGGCAACACTCCACCCACTTCAGTCCCTAATCAGGGGGTGTTTGCCACCCTTTTCCAAAGAACTCACCTTCTCTAGAGTGTTTACAGCTGCAGGCTTTAGAAGAAAAGCTAGGAGAATGGTATCTAAGAAGAAGGGAAACAAAGCTGCAGACTCAGGCAGATCCTGGCAGGCCACCATGAAGACTGTTAACCTCTGGTGAGAGAAGCATTGAGGGACAGGGTCACAGACAGGATGACAGTATACCCAGCCAAAGCACAAGGAAGTCAACATCTGTGACTTGTAGAGCGAATCCCTTAAAAGGAAATCCGTGCTGTAGTGAGATATTCACTTTGTCCTCATCTGTGGCACTGACCACGCCCATTAGGGGTGGAGACAGGGGCGCAGTTACCTGGGGGAACTAGGTCTGGGAAAGGGGCCCCTGGAGCTCTCTTGCTTGCTACACCCAGGACAGAAGAGCATCCAGAGGCATCCTTGTGGCCAGAAACCTGCTGGTGTTCATCTG